CCTCTCTCTCTCTCTCTCTCTCTCTTTGTCAAAGTTGAAATAACAACCAATACTTGTTGAACTGTTGAGAACACTGGCAACGAGAATCAAAAGATAGATAAATTTGTCACCTAAACAAAAGTAGATGGCACTATCCTAGTCTGATTTTCTTCTTAAATTGACATTATATCTATTCAATCTTAAGAAAGTAAAATTTTAAGTGGTACCATGAGGAGAGAGAGAAAGAGAGAAAAAAGATGGAGGTAATATTTTAATCTATGAATCAACAATAAATATAAAGAACATCACAATAAAAATTGTTGAAAAGAAAAGGAGAGGAAACAAATAATAACAATGATTTTGGCTTGTTATTTATAGCCAAAGTTATCATTTGGAATATATTTAAGGTCAAGATATTATGCAATGAATAGTAAATAAAAGTACGGATAATAATGAAATGGGAAGGAAAAGTTATGACAAAAGAATTGGTGGTTAAATGAAAATCTTCGATAATGATATGATTTAAAGTAACCAAAGTTTGGATAAAGAAATGTCCTAAATTCCCTTTCTTCAGAGAGAACTATTTTGTTTATTCTAAGCGGACAGGAAATGAAATGAAAGAGAAAAGTTGAATGATCGAAAGGACAATAGCAATGACAGTTTGATCTGTGGTTCATAAATGCTGTAAAATTATTTCTTAGCATTCTCCCATTAACCATTTAACTATATCATCATAAATAGAAAATCTAAAATTCAACGCGATGCTAATTTTTTGATGCTAACTTTGGAATACTTGTTAATTATTCAATTAATTAACTCATCATATTCTGCTTTATTCAATCAAGTTTTGGTCTCTCTTTCTCTTCCTCTCTCTCTGAATCAGATTCAGTGACATTGATTGATTTTTACAAAGTTTAGAATAGTGAAATCAATAAAATATTTGGAAAAAAGCTGATTCCAATGAAGTTATGCTAATTATACCATACTATAACGTAATTTAACATGAAATTCAACTGTACACTTAAAGGTCAAATGCTAAGTAAATATTTGACTCATAATCAAACAAAGTTAATTAAATCAAATAAAACATCGAAAAGAAATACGCAATGATAAAGAGAATAAAATGGATTGCGGTAATCACTGCATAATTAAATACATACTTAAAACAAGGAATTAAATTCAAAACATAATTTATAATGCAAATTTTCGTTGGTATCATATGTAATGAATTATCCATTAATGCAAATGTGTATATTAATTACAGAAATATTTATGTATTAATTACTATCTGTGATACTTTGCTTACATGTCAAGTTTTGATAAATGGAACAGATTAAGAAAATGACAGAACAAGGACAGAGGTCATCCTGATGGTCAATTATGAGTATCATTAATTGCTATATGATCATTAAATATAATGGTGAATAAATGGCCAAATATAAATAAAAAAAAATGTATGTAAAATAGCCAATGAGATCCTATTGAATGTATTACGAGCAAATACATTCTGTGAACGACAAATTGTTTTATGACAGGAAATTTAGGACGGGAAAATATTAATATTGAATTCCGAAGTATTCCTAGATGATAAAAGTTATTACACTATCACCTGTGGTTGCTAATCCTTTCTTATTAACGAACCTCATTTAGGATTAGCAATTGATTAATGCTTAAATCGTTGATTTGACTATTTGGATGACTGACCTATTCTGTGGACGTAAAAACGTCAAAACAATATCATTTAGGAAATGTCGGAGAAAAAATAAATTCAACCAAAGAAAATTCGAAATGACAAAGCCTTTCTTTCATGTGAACATTTCATTGAATCCAAAAAAAAAGAAAATTTTACGAAACCAGAACGACTAATGGAATTGGCCATTAAAGTCACAACAAATAGGTAAATGAGTTATGGAGAATGTTTCCATTCTTCCTTAAGGATAGAGTTTTTTCTTTTTTTAATTAATAGCTAATATCATGAAGCTTAAAGTGAATGCGTGTTTTTTTTCAATATTCATTTCATGTAAAGCTAATGTTTGGCCAAGTTTGAAGTGACAGTCACATTCATTTGTGTGAATGTATCAACTGAATTGTCAACCAGATAACATGTGTATCAGTGAAGTGTAACTTTTAAGCAGAATGATTATCAAATTGCTCTGTAGATCTAAATTCGTTTTTTTTCTTCTATCTCAATTTATCATCGAGTGATACCCAAATTAACGACGTTTACTGTCAAAAAATTTCTTGGTTGTAAAATTTAATACCAAAAGTATCTTAGCGACATTGAAGATTTTGGACAAATGAACATCTGCTAAACGCAGCTATTTCAAATGACCTTACAAAGATATCTGTGAAAATGACTTAACTTGGCCAAATCTTATTTTAGGCGCATATCATACACTTTGTATATTTACTGTACTTACTTAGAGTTCATATTAGATAGTTTAAAAATTTTCGTACTCGATAATTTTAATTTATACTTGTTACCTGAAGCATGTTTTTGATATTGCCGATTTTTATTTAATATTTTAGTTTTGCACTTGATAATTCAAATTTTTATTGATATTTAAAGCTTAAATTTAATATTTCAAAATTTTATTTGATGTTTAAAATTTTTATTTGACTTTTCAAATTTTCGTTTGATATTTTAAATTTTTATTTCGTATTTTGAGTTTACATTACATAACAACTTTTTGAAAAGTAGAAAATATTTGAAAATTTAAAAGCTGCACAACATTTTTTCACTTCTCTTTTACATCATTTTATATTTTATTTGTCAAATCATAGGTTATATGATAGATACGGAGGAACTTTTCAACTTCAAAATTTCATTTTAATTTTAAATTTAAAAATGAAGATCTTTTAAAACTGCTTTCTTATTTCTCTATCATCATCATTTGCTGAACATGTAGTGTACATATTCAAAACATAGTGGACATACGAATGTACACTCTTCACACATTCACCCACACCCGCACATCCTGACGTACTTCCACACACAAACACACAACGTGACATACGCCACGTACACCCACACATCTTGACGTAGTCCCACAGACATCTATACAAATACAAAAAGATGAGCATTTTACTATGTTTGTTATATACTCATAAAATTTATAAATGCACCAACTATTTGTTGGATGCTCGAACAAAAAGCGAGAAATGTATTTTGTCATATCATATCATACCATATCATATCATGTCACATCATATCATTATCTAACCGGAAATTGACGCATTTCTTGATGTCTATTTTTCAAATTGTAATATCTCAGATCTGATAATACTAACCTCGATTTTCATTCCCAATCGTTTTCTCACTATTATCAATATGGACCAGAAGAATTGTGTAGTAAAATGGGAATACACTTATTGTATAAGACTTACCGGGAAAATATTTGGTAAATTTTGCTCAGTTCTTTGCTTGGTTTCTTCTCTTTCGTTTTTTTTTTTTTTTGTTTTATTTT